TTGTGTGTGTGTGTGTGTGTGTGTGGTGTGTGTGCGTGTGTGTGTGTTGTGTTGTGTGTGTGTGTGTGTGTGTGTATGTGTGTGTGTGTGTGTGTGTGTGTGTGTGTAAAAAATGTGTATACAGGCGTGTATATATGTCTGATTGTATCCTTGGCCAAGGGTAGAGATCTCAGTTAACCAAGAGGTGTGTGTGTTTTTAGAGGAGGGGGGTGGGGTGGGGTTGTTCGTATTCCATGTCGAACATACTACACTTCAGTTCCTTTCTCTTGTAATACGCGAGTTCTCTGTAGGTATGGTAGTTTTTTCAAACCATAAACCCTAAACACTAAATCCTCACGGGTGTCACCAGATCAACGGCACTACGCGCCATGGGTGCAGTTTAAAGGTAATCGGTCTGTACTACTCACATACAGGTTGGTCCGAACTAAAGAGCAAGGTTCAGCACGCGTGAAAACCTCTCTCTCTCATTCTCTCGAAAGTGAACGGGTGAAAGCATTTGTGCACTGCCACAGGATCAGCATGTTACCACCTCACACACACCACACCACACCCCCTTAATCACGTCATATGTACTACAGCTACAATACAATTAGACACACACTAAACCTGCTACACCACACACATCTAGCCATGTGTAGCGTGCCAAAAACCCTGCATCGCATTACACATAGGTTGGGCACGAGCTGTAGGTTCTGCAGCAATCGCCCACACAGGCCTATCTCCAGGAGGCGTGGGGTGGGGTCAACCCATCGTATTCACCCACCCACATCGTCACAACTCATCACTCCACTAACATTTACTGCAAGCTATACATCTCGCATGTACAACTATATATATATATATATATATCTCGTACCACTCACTTGGCATACCTTTATATCCACTTAGGTCTGGCATAAGCTGCACGCAAAGGTAGCAGCGCCCGTCGAACCCTATCTCAAAGACGCGTGGAAGGCGTTGTACCGCCACGTGATCAAGCCATCGTACTATATCTCTGCCACAGCCACTCAGAAGGTTCGCGATCTTTCCGAAAGAGCTGGTCTCAACGATGCGGCGACGTTTGCACCTCTGCGACAACTGACTGGGCAGGCGGCGGTGTGTAGTGTGGGGTTGTGGTGGATATATCCTGTGTGTGCTTGTGTGATCGGAAGTGCGTGTGTGGGGTTGTGGTGGATGTATCTTGTGTGTGCTTGTGTGTGATCGGAAGTGCGTGTGTGGGCGTGTGGGTATGGGTAGAGAAAGTCTATGGTTGTATGGATGTATCTGTGTGTGGTCTGATACACCCAGTTGTACGAGATCCCATGTGTACCAGGCAATAGGTATGTATGCCCGGGTAGTGTTAGATGCAAGATTCACACTTGAATATCTTGGTTATTAATCAACGGTGTGTATACATCCGGCTATGTGAGTGCATATGCATAGAAGATACAGTGTCAGGGTGGACTGCACCAGATCCTGGCATCTTATATTCCGCGCCATTACTGGCTTTCCCAGGCGTTACCGTCTCTGGTCACGCCATCACAAACGTCCACATACTCTGAACCACACCTTCTGACACCTTTGCTAGTCAAATATGTACACTGCCAACACAAATAGTTATGTGTACGACGAGCATTTTGTTACGTTTGTGACGCCGAGAAGTTTCAGGCTATAGCATATCATGCTGCCGAACCTAGTATCCATACCTACCTCGATAGACAAACCTAACACTTCCCACACCAAACTCACCCCACCATGTAATTTCACTCCTCTCTATCTCTATATACGCCATTTAATTAACATATATTGAACCAGACCATGTCGTCGTTCCCCTGTCTCCTTATGTCTCCTTTTCCACACCTCACATTTCGCATACTCAGCCACACCATGCCACTCACTCCGCCGTATCCCTATGTACACCACTACAGGACTCGGCCAAGCGGGCGTACGACGAGTACTTTGTGCCTCTGGTGTACATTGAGGAGCTACAGGGAATGGCTAAGGACGCGGCCCAGCCTATAGGCGACACAGTGTCATCGGTGATGGATACCGTTGTATCTATCGTTGAGGAGGCGGTGGAAGAGATCGAGCCAGTTGCAGAGAAGGCCGAGCGCGTTAACAAAGCCATCGAGAAGGAAGCAGGTAATTGTAAGGACGTGGTTGTGTACTGTAGAAGATGGGCTTGGTTTGAGTTTAGTTTGCTGTAGTAGTGTGTATCGCGTGAGAGGAGGGTGCGCATGAGCGGTTTTATTAGACTGGGGTATGAGTTGGCTGAAATTACGGAGCGCGCATAAGTCATAGGTCCCTTAGAATAGTGGATACGTAAATTTGAAGCCACTTCTACGAGACAGAAGAGAGATGCACTATAGGATTGGAGAACCTCATGGATGGTAACGTGGTTATATGTTGCACACGCCCACTTTGAGTTGCTACTATTCATTGTGTACGTAATCACACGCGCTCGGAGAGTATTCATACCCTTCGTCACCTTTCACCCACAAGTGGCTGTCTGACGATCCGCTACAGAGCCAGCCGAACAAGTAGTCGCTGGTAGGATATACACACTCCAACGATTCAGTGTACCATATATATAGTCATGCACACATACACCGGAAAGCACTCATATGGTATCCCTTTCCAACACCTGCCATCCACACCCAACTAGCAGACGCCGTACCGGAGGTAAAGGAAGTCGAAGAAGTCGTTGAGGACGCCCAGGAAGCCATTGAAGTGGTCAAGGATGTGGAGCAGAGTATGGAAGACATCCAGAACACTGTAGAAGATATGACTGCTGCCGTGGCGGAGGGTGAGGCTGTGGTGGACCAGGCAGAGGCGGTTATTGAGGAGGTGAGAAAAACTTGGTTTATGATGTGGTGGTCTGGTGGGCGTGTGGTACTGGTGTAAGTAGTCCATTTATAGAGCGGTTTGAATGCGGGTTTGCTGTAGGGTGAGCGTGACAAGAAGCAGCTAATCAGGCGGAAAGTTTGTTCAGGGGTAGAGGGAGAGGGGTATGATAATTTATAATCAAATTACAAGTGTGCCTGAGAACCTTTATATATATGCATGTATGTGTGTATGTGTGTGTGTATGTATTTGTGTATGTATGTGTATATGTATATGTATATGTATATGTATA